ATTTTTATTTATTTGACAGAGAGAGAGACAGCGAGAGAGGGAACACAAGCAGGGGGAGTGGGAGAGGGAGAAGCAGGCTTCCCGCGGAGCAGGGAGCCCAGTGGGGGCTCGATCCCAGGACGCTGGGATCATGACCTGAGGCGAAGGCAGATGCTTAATGACTGAGCCCCCCAGGCGCCCCATATTATAGTTTTTTATCCCATATTAAGATTGCAAAATATCTTCTCCCTGTTGTTTGTCAACATTGTCCATGGCAGTCTTTATTGACTCTAAATTGTTCATTTTGATGTAATCAAATTATTACCATATAGTCTATGCTTTTTAAAGGTTTATCAAATCTTTCTCTTCCTCTAGGTCACAAAGGTATTCTCCTACAAACCATTCTATTAACTCTATAATTTTACATTTCATATTCCAGTCTTTAACCCATCTTGGAATCCATCTCTGTATGCAGTGTTTGATGGGGAACCAAGTTTCTTTGACTTACATATACTAAGCCCATTTTCCCAACACCATCGGCTAGACAGTGTAGGCTTTCTCTATTTATTTATGATGGCTCTTTATTGTACATTAACTTTCTCGTGTAGACACAGGGGTCTCTACTCTTTTTTTAAAAAATTTGATTTTTCTTGCATTAAACTCATGTAAGTTTGTAGGTTGTCTTAGTATTTGGCAGGACAAGTCCTCCATCTTTTTTCTTTCTAAGGTTTCTTAACTACTTATTTCTTTATTCTTCCATCCAAGTTTTAGAATAAGTTTAATGAGTGTATTATAAAAATATAGCCGGAATATCGACAGATTCCAATGCATTTATAATTTGGAAAAACTTTGACATTCCTAAAATATGAAGCTATCCCCTTTAAAAGTGTGTACTTAAATTATCCAAGTCCTTATTAGAATTTGAAAGTTTGTTTATGCTGATGTTTTGTTGCAATTATGAGTGTTAGCTTATTGCTTCTTGTATTTTGGTCATTGATGGCATAAGGAAATGCTACTGATTTTTCTAAGTTATTCTTGTGTTTGGCTACGTTGCTGAGCTTTTATAGATTCTAATAGTTTTATCAACTTGGTTTTCCCATTCATTAAATCAGGAAGGCTCCTTCTGATGCCCAATCTTACAGTTCTCTTGGTTAGAGAAATAAAGAAATTTTAATTCACAGACCTATCCTTTAATCAGGCCCCAAGATTTTAGTAGAATGTTTCTCTAAATTCCTCGAGGAGCAGTACAATAAAATGCTTCTGGACAAAAGGGCTCCATAGCTAATTAGATTTGATAAACACAGTATATCCTTTTGGAGACGCAGAATGCACAAATTAAGAAGGTCCTAGGAGCACTGCAATACAGAAACTGTTCAACTTTTCCAAACATTTCGACCACAAGCTTTTCCCAAATAACATTACTATCAAAATACCTACCCTACAAATTACTTATATTTACACCTTCTATGTCTCCGAAGACTGGGGGAAGTTTGGCAAGATTTGAGATGTTGCCCATGTGTATAAGAATTTTAATCCTTTCTCCTTCTAGATTCGAACCATATTGTGATGTGTTCAGAGAAGGCAGAGGGAATTTCTGCTCAGTCCTGCTATCCAGTTCAACATGTGTCTTGGTGATAATTGGCCTCTGACACATACACTGTTGAATTTAACGTTTAAGTCAGCCTATTTTAATGAGGCAAATTACTTAAGCCTTTATTCTTGTATTTTCTATTCTTCATTTAAAAAATCACTTTATCCTCAGGTTATGTGCAGTGGTTCTACAACTTGCTGTTTCAGCCCAGGAATCCTCTGCTGAAGTGCAATCTCATGCCAAGACCATTCTGCACCAGGAATGCAACTGGGCTTGACGCGGGGCGCAAGGCCCCAGTGACTGGGAGCCCAGCTCCCCCTGGAGGCAGCGCCAAGGAACACATCTTGGAAAAGCATCTGTTAAAGGAGAAATGTCCCCAATTGCTCTGCTTTAGTGTTACTGAAACAAACAAAACACTGACGATTCTAAGAACCTTTGAATCCTAATACTTTTCTCCTGAAAAATTAAAGTTTAACAGAGTACTGGAGCAGGGTCCACCTGGGATGGAGGCGGGAAACTATGTTTCTAGTCCCTGGTTAGCTACCATCCAGATGTGTGAATTTCACAATGCCTCCTGGACCATTTACTTGTAAAGCTGCGTGTGGGGATGTGGAGGGTGCTTGGAACTGTGCTGCTGAGCTCTCACAGGGGCTGGGGGTTGGAGGATACCCTTTGGGTCCCCACTTTTCCCTTACCCCTTCAAAGGGAACAGCTGCTTACCTTCTTGTTGGTAAAGTACATTAAACTTTATGTAAGATTTCACTGAACAAAGAATAGAGTTCTATGGCTTGAAAATAGGTATATATTTAAAAAAAATCACTACACTAGATAAACTTTACAGTCATTTTTAGCTTTGATATTTGGATTTGGAGATTTTTTTTAAACCAAGAGAGAACATAAGCCTTTACCTGGAATGAATCATTTTTTTTTTTTAAGATTTTATTTATTTATTTGACACAGAGAGAGCACAAGTAGGCAGAGCCGCAGGCAGAGGGAGAGGGAGAAGCAGGCTCTCCGCTGAGCAGGAAGCCCGATGCAGGGCTTGATCCCAGGACCCTGGGATCATGACCTGAGCTGAAGGCAGCCGCTTAACCGACTGAGCCACCCAGGCGCCCCTGGAATGAATCATTTTTAACTGAGGATAAACCAGGGTAGAGACTTTTCTTGATAAAAAACTCAAACCATTGTGGCTATTTCCAGAGTCGGCAGTGAGTCACCACCTCCAGCTCTGACGCCGGTCCGTATTAACGCTCAACTGGACTCTAGCTAAAGGAACAAACATCGCAGTTCACTTTTCTGTCTTTTTTGTGCTATTACCTAAATGTAAATGATATTTATCAAAAATACTACAAAGAACTCAATTCAACAGATTTTTTAAAAACCCTTAATTTTATTTTTATTAGCTTTAAAAACAAAACTTGTTACAAGTAATCACAAGGATTCCAAAAAACATTATATTCTGCTTTTGTCACTTTGAGAGGACAAGGAGCATTTAAATGTCCTAAAAATACAGGAGAGCCAAAGCTGACAAATAACAAACTACTACAAACTATGGATTGTCACATCAGGCACACTAAAATACAGAATACATATACATATAAATTACTGACCAGGTTTTCAAAGTACAATGAATATTCACTACAATTTATAGTACCAGAAAAGTAATGTTCCCCAGAATATAACACAAGATCACAAACATGTTCAGATAAAATTATAAATTCACCTCCTGGAGTTCAATGAAGAGAGAAGTGAAATGAGTGAAAAACTTTTCTTCAAGTTGGAGGACATGCACGATACAGCAGAAACGTAGATGGCTCCCCCCTGGGGCCCCCACCTCAGGGGAGAAGGAGCGGGAAGAGGATGGTAGCAACAGCATTAGCCACCTTGACTCTCCTCAGTCTAGTGTGGGTTAGGAAGACTGGGGACTACATAGAAAACAGTACGGAAAAACACGTATTCTCTGCATAGATAGAGATTTTCCACATGACGAGAATGAACATTCAGTCAAAGCTATGCAGGAACTCCCAGGAGTCTGCGGGACATGGTTTTGCTTCAAAAGGAAACACAGTTCACAAGATAGACCACGCATGCCTAATTTAGTAAAAGGTCCTTACGCTTTTACTTAAATGGACGGAGACACTTTGACTCAGCCCCACATCAGTTCTTCTTAACCTTGGCTGGAAACGTCTATTTTGAAAATGACCATTTTTATAATCTTTTTGGCCAGTAAAACCTAGCAGTTATTACAATCTTCTGTTGCTTTGTTGCTTGTGTATTTGGTATTAATAACAACGCCCTTCAAGTTACTAACATTTTCCCCTGATTCCTGGGTAGAGACAACAATGGCATCTGGCGGACCCATTCCCCAAGGGGAGGTTATAAAATAAATGAGTATTTACTAAGTTGCTGAACAGGGTTCATAAACCTTATTCTTTACGTTTACTTTTTAAAAAGTGAGCTTCTTTAACAATGGACTTCCCTCCCCAGCTAGGAGGCAACTAATTCCCTCATCTTTTGTTCCATTATTCTGTCACATTTATAAATAATTTGCTTTTGTAGAGGAGGATGTAAATGCACGTGTGCAGAAAAGGAGCACAGTGAGTGGGCAAAGGAAGGCTGACCAAAGTCTAGGACTCCAGAGCAAAGAGAGCTACTACCCACAGACCGGGAACTCTGATGCACCAAAGAATTTCATACATTTTCCACTGCTTAATTATGTCTGAGATCTTCCCCTTTAAGAATAAAGCTATGGTCTGTAAAAGAGCCTATATAAGTCAGTCTTCAGTCTTTACCAGAGCTCCATTTTACAAGCACTGAGTGACGGTGTCGTTCCACTGCAAGCTATTTCCAAATCCAGGGAGATCTCATGCTGCTTCATTAGAATCACATCTCAAGTATGACTATTTGTAATTTGATCTCATTACTACTAAAACCTATGAAAGCCCACATAAAATGTCAACACGACCGCTGGCTACCAAAATAACATTATTTAAGTAGATTCCAATCCCAACAGTAAAACGCTAACAAAAACACAAGGTCATTCACAAGACTGAGTCACTGCCTTCACCAGATGTCTCTAATTCTTTTCCCCTTTTTTGTCTGTCTATAAAGGAGAAAACGCCCGGCGCGGGAGTTGGGAATGCCAATCTAGTCCCCGTGGCCTTCGAAATAAGACGTGTCATCTCTGTTTTCTCATCTGTGTCACACGAGGAGTAGACTACGTCATTCCCAAAGTCGCCTTCGGCACTATGACTGAGATTCTGAGGAAATCTAAGGTCTTCGCTTTCTGTCACAACGTTCTGAAGAGATAGAGTGGCTGTGAGTGGGAAACAAAAGGCCCGTATTCTAGAAGGACGGTGCTGATCCTGCCCTGTCTCCTGGCAGCTCTGATTCGAACACACCGTGTTCTATTTAAGCCTTTATGGTGAATGTAGAACTTCCTGGGCTCTCAATTCTGTGGCTAGGTTTAGTGTATAAAGTATGAAGTATGAAGAAGCAAAATGTAAGATGAGTGTGCTCTCCTCCTGATGTTCAGCTCCCCAAGGCAATGGAACTGTTTTTACTGATTCTGTCTCTTAGCGCCTTCAACTAGTTGATGCTCACACGAGCGCACTTTTTAAATGGGTTTATTTCCAGTTGCGTCAGGCGGGTATGTCGAAAGAGCCTAGAACATAGGAGCCAATGCACCACTGCACTGCAGGTTCTGTTGACTATCCTTATTATAAAGTGTTAGGATTTTCTTATCCTTCACAAATGCTTTTTTCCTAACACAAAGCATCATCTTCTTTCCTCACGATGCTCTAATGAATTTGATTCCTGAGATGAAGCTACGATTTCTAAAGAGAGCAAGGCTACTATACTATCAGAGTTAAATCTAAGTAATAACTCAATTTCCAAAAAGAAAATGTAGCTGAACTTATTAAAAGGAACTTTAAAAAAGTACACGAGACTCATCTCTTACAAGATGGTTACATGAGCTGGATATAAAATAGCCAAGAAAGGACAGAGACCCTAATACTTGTTGAGATCCTGGTTGATTTCACCATATTTAAAAGTTAATGGACATTTTTCTTTTAGAGTTCACCTTATGGAAAGAATGAAAATATTTATGTTCTCCATTCAGAAAACTTTAATATGTGTACATATTAAATAATGTATATTTTGTATTTAATATATATTTATTTTGGTTTAAGTTTTTCTTCAACTTATTCAATACTCTCAAAAAAATAAATACAGAGAAAAGAAATATTTGCACTGCTTGACTTTAAAAACAGGTTATGTAAGTTAGGAATAGACTATTCTTTAATTGGAAAGAAGACCATGAAAGCCAAGCCAAATAACAAAACATTATGGATTTTGGATCACTTAGAAAATTAGTTAATAAATATTACCTAAAAGGAAATTTTAAAATTCTCAACTGTTGAAAATACATACATTTCCTGACTTAACAAGGTCCATTCTGCAAATGATAAGTTACTGCAGCCAGAGAAGATCAAACACTGGCAAAATGGTGAATTTGGAGTGCAAAGTAAATTTATTAAGTGGCTGTCAGTTAAACTGCCAAATGATGATCTGAATTTAATAAACTGCTTATGGAATCACAAATCTCAACTGAATTTATATTGAGAATGAGCCCGGGTAGACATATATAAATAGGACAGCTTATCATCTCAGAGTATTTGAGGGCAAGAAAAAATATAAAACTTTTTCTTGGCAACATGGTTTAAGTCCTCAGAAATAAAACCTACCATAATAAGAACCTCTAAACCACGAAACATGCTACCAAAAATATATGGACACCATGGCATGAATTTCTGTATTCTTCCTTCTGGGTAGTGGCAGCCGCATTGGTTTATCAGTCCAAACTCCTGTGTGCAGCCCCTTTGCACACATACCAGGGAGCTCCAAACACGTGACATACAGAGAAGACAGGACGGTGACCAAAGCAAAGTTTTCTTCGTTATGAGACTTTTCTATAAAGGGACTGCCAAGTCTGAGCAGGCCACAGAAAGGTAAAAAGATGCTTGTTTCTGCTTTAGGAGCTTCAACTATCCACTCCTGAAACACCAGTAAGAAACAGTTCTGTTTTAGGGGAAAATGCCAACTGTCAGCCAGGGTAAAATATTGCACCAAAAACAAAGTCTGACGAATGGAATGATCTTGATGTCCCCCATCTTTCCCTGATTCATAGAAAAAGAATATGTGTGCCTTTTCTTTCAGAGCAAACTGGAAAATGTTTAAAGAGACAATTTAAAAAAATGGTCTTCTGAAAATCTTATCATTACCTTTTCTAATTTGCAGTCTCTGAATGACACACAGATGTATAACATTAAAAAACTCAACCGGTGGCTGAGGACAGTTGGGGATGCCACGGGCTTAGCACACGGTCACAGACGGCAGACCACCATGGCCCCCTGAGGTCATAATCAGTCAAACTTGGGTGGCATGTCCCGCTTCCAGTTCTCTGGGAGGGACGACGCATCAGGGACAGTGGTCCGAACGGCACTTTCCTCTTTCAAGCCAGAGTAACAGGGAAGAGAGTAACATGCACACAGATTTGTGCCACTTGAGTCCAATGGTCAAAGTGAATTTGGCTTTTCCTCCCCAAAGCTAAAGAAAAAAACGACTGGAGAAAAGTGATTCTCTATGAATTATTCTAGATTTCAGATCTCTTCTCGTGCCAAAAATTTCACGTATGTGGAATAACCACCTTTGATCAATAGATTAGCTGGAAGCTATTATACCATTACCAAATACCCACATTAGATTATTAAAATTGTGAGACTATTTTTGAGTTCATAGAAATGGTACTGCACTCGGGGGACTATAGCTTTAGTTTTGGGGGGGCCATGCTACATGGAGTCAGGGAAATGAACAGTGCTGGAGGGAGCCAGGAATCAGACAAATCTCCTAATTTGCTACTGCTTAAAAATGGTCAAGAGTTGCAATATGTTGGGGGCTGATCCTTTCGTTTAAAGTGCTGTTCAGAATAGCTGTTAAAATTTTGAACAGGTAAAATCAGCTACTACTCTCTATCTCCATGTCCGCAGCCGGGTGTGGTGGCAACACACAGCCTCATCCACACACGCCCCCAGCCTCACCCCCACACGCCGAGCCGCGGTGCGCCAGAAGGGCAGGGACCTCCAGTGCGGAGCCCCCAGGGGGCAGCTGCCTGGCACCAGCCAGAGGCCTCACAGTGCCCCATCGAAGGTCTGGGGCTCACTCAGTGCTGCGGCTGGAGGCTCGGGGCGCCTCGTCTGGGTAATTTTCTGTTTGGGGTTTTTTGTTTCTTCTTCCTCTTCAGTTTCACTTTCGCAGACATGAACCACCACGCTCGGCGTCGACTCTGTTCCAGCATGGAGCTCGTATTTCTCTCCTGGGGAGGTAAGCAGCAGAAAGAGGAGTTTGCCTCTTGAAACTTTGTTCTACTCTTATTTTAATTGCCAATTATTGGCTTTTAGATCCTATGTCAGAGCACTTTACCTCGCTTTCGCCTTTAAGGTTCTTACACAGTTTTGCCCTTTGAAGAAATTAGCTGGTGGGGAGGACTGAGGTCTCGGGAGTTAAAATGGAAATGCTAATGACTGTTCTATGGACAGTATGAGTGAACCTGTTTAACTTCAGAATGGTTTCAGTTTTCCCTCGGGAGACACCTGTAAGGTTCCAGGCAGCAACCTCTTTATTACAGGACCTCACACATGCACCCTGCTCTAATGTCTAAAAACACCACCAAGCCACCTCCCTTCAAAATGCCTCTTGTATCCCTTTCTAAGAGATGTAACATTACTGTAGGTGGACAACTAGTGTGAACCAGCCAGGCACTGATTTCCTAGATTATTTTAAAGGGATGAAAGAAATCAAAGAGAAGAAAAAAAAGAAATGAACAGTAAGAGAAGAATTTGGAAGGAATAATATAGTATTGCCATCAATTCCTTGAAAGAAGTATTCAATGCAGAAGTCTGTCTGATACTTTGATGGGACGGGGGAGAAGGTAACTAACATTCACTGAGGGCCTGTTATGTACTAGGAGGATGTGCAGGAGTTAGAATTGAGGTTATGTTTATTGAGTATCAAGTATGTATCATTTAATCCTTATTAACCACACTGAAAGGTAGCTATTATGATCGCTATTTTAGATGAGAAAATGGGCTCAGAAACTGAAGCTAAGTAACTTGCTCAAGATCACAAAGTTAGCAGGGTACCTGGCTGGCTCAGTCTGTGGAGCATGCGACTCTTGGTCTCAGGGTTGTGGGTTCGATCCCCACACTGGGTGTAGAGATGACTTAAAAGTTAGCAAACACTAGAGTTGGAACCCAGGTTTGTGTGACTTTGTCCTCCACTCTGATCATGTTGCCACTGGTTGGCTAGAACGCAGATCGTGGAATATGGTCTTTAATACAAAAGTTTCTTGGGAAAAAAAATTAGGAAAGAGTTTGTTACCTGGTCCCAGTTTGGAAACCGCACAGAGTAAGTCATAGTTTATAACAGGCATTCCGTCTTCCCCCTGCTTCCACCCCACAGGCGGCGAGGCGGGAGGGGAGATGAGGAACTGTTTGACCGGCTGCGGGGGCAGTAAATATGACTTGTCCCCGGTTTCACTGGACATCTGTACCTGCGGGCAAGGAGATGCTCAAAACCAGCCTGTGACTGGACTGTTTGTTCATTTTCATCGTGAGGCTAACCGTTATACCTCTTTGGAGAAAAGGAAAGATTTCTCCTCGGCAGCCTGTAACTCCCAGCGGCAGCAGCTGGGTCTGTGTGGTTCACGGCCAAGCGCACGGTGCATGGCACAGAGCCCACGCGCCCCGGGTGCCCAATAGATGACCACTGAATGACAACATGAACCGCTAAGGAGACGAACAAACAATGAATGGTAATAAACCTGAATTCCGACTGTACTTATCTATGTCTTTTTCTGAATTCCAGTTTTAGAAGAGATTAGGTTATAATGTCTCCATAGCTCCACCAAGAAACATCCTGACAACTTTCATTTACATTTTCATTTGGAGCATGAGGCAACAAACAAACCCCTTTTTTTAAGTTTGAAAGCTAAGACCAAAACACTTTGTTGGCGCACTTAATAAATGAGTAGAGGTCTAATGCCTTTATGTCCTCAATTCTTCTGAGGAGAAATTGGTTTGCAAGTGCTACCCAGGCAGGATGAGAATAATAAGCATAGCTGATTCTTGGTAACCAACAGGCTCCTCTGCAATTGCAAAGCCTGGGCCAACCTCTCTGCAGGGCCGCGTCACCTCCCTGGTCAGCCCCAGGCTGGCAGCTATTTTCAGTGGGGTGTCTCCTGAATCCCAGAACACAGAAACGACTTTAGCATCTATTTTCTCAATTCTCCCAAGGCTGTCACATCCCGAATGCCAGATTCTAGACGCACAGGAAGAAAGTCAATTCACTGATCTTAAGGTGTGAGGACTTCACCCTCATGGAACCCCAGGTGAGAAAAGCTGCCAGAAAGATGAATTCCTTTAATGTTTAGCATGAGTAAAACAAAGTGGGGGGGGGGCGCAAATATCCTTAATATTTATGTATCTGTAAAATAAAGGAAAAACATTTTTATATCACTTCCTGATTAGGATTGTTTATTTCAAAGACTGCTGATATACTCATCAGGAAAATGGAGGATTGATAGTATTTCGGGATGGAGGAAAAGAGGTTGAGAGAACAGCATCACGAGGTACCTGGGCAAAATACAGCTTCAGCTTCTTCCCGTTGAAGTCCGTTTCGTTGAGTTCTATTCGTGCTCTTGCTGCTGCTTCGGGTTTGCTGAAATTTATTCTGACTCTTCTAAAGCTTTTAAACAACTGAAATGTCGCTTGGTCGTCATAGACAGTGAAAAGTGCTTCAAATCTCTCCTAAAAATTGAGGAGCAGCAGGGCAGGGGAGGTGGGGTGGGGTGGGGGGAGAAAGAAAACCTTTAGCCAAAGGAAATTTAAATCATTAAACATAAGTAACGGGATGGAACTCATGATTTACCATTTTTCCAAAAAAGAGTACTTTTCTTGAAGGTGGTACAAGAACAGGTAACCATTGTCATATGCTAAATTCTGCAACTTGCACTTACTTTAAAAGTAATTAACGTTATTAAGCATGGTATAGGTTCAAATTATAAAATGAATAAATGTAAAGTACTGTGAAATAAATGTAGGATACAAACAGAGATACAAACATGCCCAATCACAGAACAAGAACACTGTACCATTTTCAAGGCCCCAGTGTACCAGACTTGTTTCTCCCATCCCATCTCTACCTTCCTTCAAAGCAACCATTTCTGGATTTTGTGCTTATTATTCCCCTGCTTTTCTGTAGAGTTTTACATTTATTTGTATCCCTAAAGGCTTAATCACATTGCATGTATTCTTCTGTTAACTTTTTGTAAGCTTTCTTCCTTACATTTTGTTCCTAAGATTCTTCCTTGTTGCTGTAAGTCATTCCTTCCTGCTGCTACAGCCATACTGCGATTTATCTAGTGCTGTTGGAATCTGGACCGCCTCGTATTTTCTACTACAGTGGTGCTATGAACATTCTTGCGCACATCTCTTGGTAACCAAATGCATGAGTTTCTCTGACTGGACATACCTATAAGTGGAATTCCTGGGCCTTAGAGTTGGCACATCTTTAACTTGAGGAGATAATGACCAATAGTTTCCCAAAGCGTTTGTACCAGTTTACTCTCTACCAGCAGATACATGTTCTAGTTGCTTCCTATCTTTGCCAATGCTTGATACAGACTTTTTATCAATGGGAGATAGAGACTATGAAATGGGCTCTGAAGTTTGGCTATCACTCACATTTCTCTAAATAATGAGGTTGAGCCTCTTTTTTTTTTCTTTAAGATTTTATTTATTTGAGAGTGAGAGAGAGGGAGAGAGAGAGAGAGAGAGAGAGCACAAGCAGGGGGAGGGGCAGAGGGAGAAGCAGGCTGAGCAGGGAGCCCAATGTGGGGCTCGATTCCAGGACCCTGGGATCATGACCTGAGCTGAAGGCAGGCGCTTAACCAACTGAGCCACGCAGATGTCCCAAGATTAAGCCTCTTTTCATGCTTATTGGCCATCTGGGACTCCTCTAAATGTGATATGCCTGTATCTTTTGTCCATTTTTCTACTGGGTTGTCATTTTTTATTGAGTCATGTAAGTTCCATAGAGATACTAATTCTTTGTCAATTAAATGGCCATTAAATATTTTTTCCCAGCTCTTTTCATTGTGGGGTTTTTTCTTTTTCTTGAGAAATAGAAATTTTAAATCTGAATATTATTGAATTTATCACTTTCTTCCTTCTGTGTTTTCTGTGTCTTAAGAAATCCTTCTATACTCTGAGATCATATTGATGTTCTCCTGGGTTGCTTTCTCAAAGTATTATGGTTTTACCTTTCACACTTAAGTCTTTCCTCAGCACAAATGATGTTTATGTATCAGGCGCCCCCCTCCCCACCAGCAACCACTACCATTTTTCTATCACTCTCCATTAGATTGTATTTTCTAGAATTGTATATCCCAGCTCTGTCTGGAATGGCAGAGTTCCCTGAGATCTAGCTTCAGTGGAACATTTTATATAAATGTGCCCTTTTGACATCACTGGCTTTTAATTGGAGGACTTATTCCATTGTTGTGATTACTAATATTTTTGGATGTCTACCATCTTGCTTTATCTACTTTTCTCAGATTTTCTGTGTTCATAGTCTCTCCTTTTTTACCTTCTTTTCAACTGATTTTTCTCTTTTTTTTTCTACTTACCCCTCTGGATAAAATTTCTATGAAAGATGCTAATGTGCATTTAGCACCTTCTCTAAAGATGCATTATATCCTCCAGCCACAGTCCATCTTTTACGAAGGCAAAACAATGAGATCTTTTTTCTCAAGGTTCATTTGGGAATATGTCATTCCACAAAAATATCATTGTTTGGGAAAAAGTAAACTTGTGTGTGTGTGTGTGTGTGTGTGTATACATCCTAAATGTTTTGGGATAAAATAGAGCAGGAAAGAGGGAGTCATTTTTTGAGGCTGAGAAAAAAAAAATGGTCCTATTCCCATTTGTTAATAAGAATAATGAGAAAAGCTAATTTCAATTACCAGAATAGCAACATTAAATTCTCTTTACTGGTCACTTTTATGCAAAAGTTTAATAAATGAAATGTAACAAAACAGACCTAAGAAAATTCTCAATACCTTAAGAAATACTCCTTCGGCTTGCCAATAGTAACATAATAAAGGAACCTGGAAATTAGCTTTGTTTTTGGTTTCTGTGAAGATCCTTCAACTATTTGTTGATACTGAAGTAAAAATCATCTGTTAACTTTTCTCACTTTGAATATTTTCCTACCACTTTGCAACACTTCTCAGTTTGACAAAATATAAAATGATTTGTGATCAAATATATATTCTTTTAATGTTCAAATATCCCTTATAATTCAGAAAACATCATCTGCTTAAAAATTATATTATTTTTGCTCATTCATTTAAAAAATATATATTAAGCAACCAACTGCATGTCAGACCTTTATGCTAAGTGCTGGACTTCCAACTTATCACAAGCTGCTTCAAAGGAAGGTGAACTTTAAGATCAAGTCTGTTTTTATTTATTATATATTCTCTACATATTAGAGTAATATGGAAAAATACGTATTATAGATATAGTAAGGACTTTCACCTAGCACATCGGTTCTTAAAAATAAATGTGCACAGGTAAATATATTAAATACTAATAATTACTAACACTTCTAGGCACATTTCAGAGTTTCCTCAGCGTCCATTTCAAAGATGGTTGGCTTTGTCACTTTTTAAAAAAAATTAGAATTGAGATTTTGTGAAATTACATTGCATTTAATTCTTGGTGGATGCTCACATTTTGAATACTAAGTGAGTATTAAAATTCCCACGTGAGATAGTTAAGAAATGTGGCACCTGGGTGGCTCAGTCAGCTAAGCATCCGACTCTTGATCTCCACTCAGGTCATGATCTCAGGGTCATGAGTTCAAGCCCTGTGTTCATGAGTAGGCCCAGCATGGAGCCTAGGAAGGAAGGAAGGAAGGAAGGAAGGGAGGATTGATCAATACTGAAGGCAGTGGAAATGGAAAGTAGGGAAGACCGAATTAAGCATGGTTTATATTTGTATTCTTTTTTTTTTTTTTTGATTATTTATTTATTTATTTATTTGACAGAGAAAGACACAGCGAGAGAGGGAACAGAAACGGGGAGTGGGAGAGGGAGAAGCAGACTCCCTGCCGAGCAGGGAGCCTGATGCGGGACTCGATCCCGGAACTCCAGGATCATGACCTGAGCCGAAGGCAGTCGCCTAACCAACTGAGCCACCCAGGCGCCCTATATTTGTATTCTGTCAATCTGTACGTTAAACAATTTCCCTTGCTGAGGGTAAAAGGACCATGTATTTATTCCTAATTCCCACAACAATGAATTTTTTGTAGTTACAATAACACACTATCTCACAAATTAAACAGCTACTTGCTAATTACATCCTATTTCCTTTCAAGACATTTTTTTTCTCACTCCAGAAATCTACTGTAACTGAATGTAACAAGCAGGTGATAGCCATGGGTTCTATGGGTCTCTCTCTTCTAAATTCAAATATCTGTGAATGGATTCAGAATTATACAAAAACGAAGCCATGCAAAAGCCAATCAGTAAGCTTCTTCTAAGTTTTGTTAGACCCTTCTCTTTCTCTCCCATTTTCATGGAGCATAACACAGTTTGAGAAATGTGTGACTTCTCGCCGCGAGGCGCAGTAGAGAATACGAATTAACGTGGAGGCAAAATGATCACTGTTTCCTTGTGAGGAACAACGTGAGAGCCCTTGGCTGGTAGCTCCACCCTCCTGTGAACCCACAGGTACCAAGAGGTGGATTCCTGAGGCTGCCCCTGACAACCCAGCGTGAGCACTACAAGGGTTCCGACGACTGCAGAGAGGTCATAATCTATCGACATGCGCTTAAAATAACTGGCGAGAAACAATTCATTTGAAACAAAATTATTACTTTTCTCCTTAAAACTGTTTTATAGAGAATTCACTTTTATATGTTTCTGAATTCTGGAGCGATATTAAAACGAACACCATCCTGTTAAAGGGTGATGCTTGCACATTTGCTTCTGACAAGAAAAGGAAGATCCCAGAAAATCCAAATCGCCATGGACCACTCTCTTTTTCTAGCAGTCTCTTAGTATCCCTTCGGGCAGTACATCTATAGGAATAAGACAGTTAATAGTGCCTAAAAATCAATTCCCAAGGCTTTTCCTGTTATAGAGGTTTTCCACAAAATATAGACCAGAAGTTGCCTTCGTATGCTGAAGTCACACATGCAATTAGTCAGCAGTAAAAAGGACTACAAATACTTTGCATCTAAAATATGTAAAGACGACATGTAACCAACAGCTTTCTTAGGAATTCCAGAAAAGTACTTTGCAGCTGGGTAACAAGCTGACTAAAGTCATGAGGAGAAGAGTAGAAAAGGACTTATGGGAAGGTTGGTTTCAGGGAGGTGAGGGCAGCAGCTAGGTGTGTATTTCTTGACCTTTCTGGAAACACCACTGCCCTATCCTCCATCCCCCATCCCAAAGCAGCGAAGGCGAGGCTTATCAATTTCACTGAGGAATAAATTATGAAAATGATTTTGCTGCACCCCTTTGCCTTGGACATAAGAGCCTGAAGAACCCACCATGTCTGCACGTTAAGAACACTCTCACTGTTGAGAAGCAGCAATGCTTCAATCCACTCAGCTGTGAAATTATCTTTGGAGTCCTACGGCAAAAGATTTTTCACATTCTCTGTCTGTAAATCCGAAATAGAAAATTCCATCTCTCCAGCAGGTTCACAGATGTCAGAGACGAGGCTTCCATTTCCAC